TCACAAGAGCCCTGCACTGGTTCCCATTCTGAGCCAGATCAATCCAATCCATACCATCCCATCCTGTCTCTCTAATGTCCATTTTAATACTGTCCACCCACCTACGCCTTGGTCTTCCCACTAGTCTCTCTCCTTCTGGCCTTCCCACAATATCCTATATGCATTCCTCTTCTGCCCCATTCGTGCTGCACGCCCTGCCCACCTCATCCTCCTTGACTTGATCATTCTAAGAATACAAATTATGAAGCCCCTTATTATGGACTTTTCTCAAACCTCCTGTCACTTGATCTCTCTTCTGTCCAAACATTCTCCTCAAGACCTGTTCTCAAATACCATCAGTCCATGTTCCTCTCTTAATGATTAAATTATTAAATACATGCAATAGATTATTTTATGTGAAGCTGACAGTAACTCACAGAGCCAGAAATTGCCCAAGTTTTATGAAATGCAAAGGTTCATAACTTTGTTCACAAGATCCAGTCATTAGAACCTGTACCTAGCGGCTTGAATCCTAGCATGTCCTTCTAAATTCATTATTCACAAGTTGCTTCAGGCGACCTGCATCACGAACTTTCTCGTTACGTAATACCCCAGTTTTCGTAGTGTCCCCATCCTACCCAAGTCCGTATATTTCCCTGTAGACGTACACTTTATGTTGAAACACATTCCATTTCTGTTCTTCCCTGCACTATGCACATAAGTGCGCATTAGTTAACTTAGTAATCAACACAGGACATTTCAGTCCTTTGCTAATTCATCTCTTTTGGACCTAAATATACTTCTTAGTAACTTGTTCCCGAGAACATTAAGTTGAAATTATTGTCGATCCTTGGCCGGGTCATAGCTCAGGCGGTTAGTCGCTGGCTTCCCATAGCGGCCGCCCGGGTTCGAGCCCGAGTCTCTTTATGTGGGATTTGTGGTGGACAGAATGGCACTGGGGCACGTTTTCTCCAGTACTTCGGATTCTCCCGTCAATCTTCGTTTCACCAATTGCTCCACAATCAATATCCTCTATTATCTGCGGGCTGGTACAACAGGCCAGTAGTGGCCGCAGTAACAAGTGGACTCAGTCTCACCCCACTAAGAATAATAATTAAAAAAATAATAGCTGACCCTTAAGACACTCTAACAAGGCAAGGTAATTTTGTCTTTGGCCAATCACAGTGGCCGCGATGTGTAAGACAATAACCGTCTTCGCCCACTCGAACACTGGAATAGAGAGTTCAAATCCCACCCGAGGCATGGATGTCCGTGTGCTTTTATTGTGTTTGTATTGTTCTGTTTGTAGGTAGCGGCCTTGCGCCGGGCTGATCCCCGTCCAAGGAGTCCTACTGACTCCGTATAAATTAAGAAATTAAAAAAGCGGTCAACGTCAACAAGGGCTGTAGGGCCACAAATAGATAAAGTTGTCCCTGTGCTTAATTAATTAAGCACAACGCCCTGAAGACGAATGGAACAGTGGAGGTATAGTTCCACCACAATTAATCTCCACACTAGATGCAGGCGAGTGGATTGGAGAAAAAAATTCTTGCCCTCCAGGATATAGAACCATGGCCTCCCAGGCCGTAGCCAGTCGCTGTACCGACTGACCAATCCCAGCAAAAAGCAGTTTAATATACTGTCCAAATCCGAACTAATTATGAAATCATTATGATTATAATAAGCATGCCTACATGCAACAGAGTGCAACGTCATCACGTGACCTGAAGCTGCAGGAGATCTCGTCAACCAGACGCGACCTGGGACGGATCCAGTATCGACAAGTGATTTAACCTACATACACGTGCAATTGTGAGGGTCCAACAGATTTAGCCCCAACAGAGAGCCACTCCCTGAATGTGCACGCGCAATGCGGAGGCTATACCTGTCAGCCCTCGTGTTTCATCTCTGTATTTCAGCTAAATTTAGTACCAGAACAACACAATAAAAATTGTAGTGAAGGTAAAAGTAAAGTTTTCCCTGGGCTTAATTAATTAAGCACTATGCCATGAACACGTAGGGAGAGTGGAGGTATAGCTCCACCATTAACCTAGGCACTAGATGGAGATGGGTGGTCAGCTCCATACTCCAGCTGATTTACCGTGGAGGAGTAGCCGCCAGTACCCATTGTATAGGAGGCTGAGTGAACCCGAGCCTGTCTGGATGCTGCGGAGTATATAAAAACCTCTTCCTTGACGGGAATCGAACCCAGACGCTTCAGTCATCCATCATATAGTTCGTCGCTATACTGACTGACGAACGATATAAATTGTATTAACTTTTACGTATATCTATTCAATATAACTGCCACTATAAATGAAGTTAATTAAATTCTAGGACTTTCCCAAAAACGACATAAAAAGTAAAGCTATCCCTGTAACAGGCCGTGAAGGCCCATAGGGTTGTGAAACGTTGAGGGTTCCACATTATCTAGACAATCGGCTCAAAGATGGCGGTAAGGTTGTCAGCCTTACGCGCATGCTGCGTTTTACTCCCCAGGAAAATTATTTAATTAATTCGTGGTACTCATTTCTGTGAGAGGCTGAGTCAACCCCATGGCCACAGTGGGGCTGGAAGGATTAGGTCAATTGAAAAAATCCAATGACCTCATCGGGACTTAAACCCGCGACCTTCCGGCTTGTAGCATAGTGCCTCAACCAACTACGCTGCTCCGTGCCCCCTCCCCAGAACGATATTCCTTACAAAACTAGGGCCAAGACATAAAGAGTACATTTGATCAAATTATATAACTTTCATGCGAAACACCTTCAGATACTGTCTGTATAGAACAGAACACAGAACAAACAATTTCAAAGTCTATGCAGTGTGACGTATTTATTGATTACTTGAAAAAAAGAGATTACATCTGCACACAAATTATTGCCTTGTTAATTAACTGTTTAAACGCATAAGTTGTAACATTTTAGAAGCAGCGTGTATCTCGCTAGAGTATGTTTTATGGATAGTACTCAGCCATTTAACAATAACTTTGGGCTGCAGAAAACTGCATAATGGGGAGCTTCGTAATTTGCTCTCTACTGAGTTTATTTTCCGTTGTTTTTTCCTCTTGGACCTCAATTGCTTTCGTTCCATGCATATACACACACAATTTTTCGGAATATAAAGTTAAAGTTGTCCCTCTACTTAACTAATTAAGCACTACATTATGAAGGTGTACAGAGGAGTGGCTGTAGGGAACCACATTGTCTTGACTTCGGCGCTAGTTGGAGATGAGTGGTCAGCTTCACGCACCGGCAGCTTTATCCCGAGGAAAGAGCCCCAAGTACCCATTGGGTAGGAGGTTGGGTGAACCTTGGAGCCGGTCTGGACAACTTGGAGAAGAGAACATTCTTGGCCCTACAAGGATTCGAACTCCGACCTTTCTGTCGTCCAGCCCTGTAGCCAGTCGCTATCCCGGCTCCATATTTTTTTTTTGGGGGGGGGGGGGGGAACACACTGTGAAATTGTAAATTTGAAAAAGCTGCCTTTAGTAACAGAAAAATTTTGTATGGTTATATTCGAAAACCGATCCGAGGACATTCTATAGGAGTACTTCCACGGCGGTGAATTAGATCAGGAACCACAAACCCTGCAGAGCCTCGCTTCGACTATTTCTCGGAAAGCAACAATCCAATTTCCGAAACCACGTCTTGCCTCAATTTTGAGAGGTCCACTGATTTATAGAAGAGGGTAGAAGGGTGGGGGCTGTGGGAAATAAAGACGAACGTGAGGGTTGGAACCGGAGTACACACAGGGTGTTCAGAGATACACGCTTGCGCAGATATAACACAGGACATCCGTTCTTTCCTTACAATTGATTGGCCCTGATCGTACTTATTACAGGTAAAAGGTAAAGCTATCCCTGTAACATGACATGGAGGCCCATAAGGTTGTGAGACGTAGATGCTCCCAGATTTTCTAGACAATCGGCAGATGGCAGTAGGGTAGTCAGCTTTACTTGCCGGCCGCACCTTTACCCCCAGGAAGACAGCTGATACTAATTTCTGTCAGCGGCTGACCTGATCCCAGGGCCATACTACGGCTGGAAGGGTTAGGTCAATTGAAAAATCCAGTGACCTCATCGGTAAAATAATCCGTTACCTTGTAGCATAATGCCTCAAATGCTACGCTACCGCGTGCCCGTTACTTATTGCAGACATAAATACTGTCACGTATATGGGGGTACACGTGACGAAAATAACGGGTTCTTGATCGGATGATTGAATTTATTGGCACTTCGGTTACAAGTTCTCTTAATCACGCTCAATTATAGCGCTATCGCTATTCTGCACACTTTCTGTTCAACGTTGAACACGCACTAGTATCCTCCGTCTTCACGTATCGTCTCCTGGCAACGGATTTTAACACAGAAACTAGCACTTCAAATCACTGTAACGTCTTCTTGCCATTTATTGTTCAATCACCCTGAAACCACGGAACTCAACTAAAACTCTCTCCTGCTGCAAGCGCACTCGCGTTATATATCCGCGGCACGCACAACGCAGAAAACATATTTCTATTGTTACTGGCGGAGACCACACAGAAAACATAAATCACGTGTTCGCCACCCTCTGTTGCATGACGTCACCAAGCATGCGCAACCTGTGTGGACACAAAGAAAACGCTGCTCAAGTATTGTTGTGTGACATCATCGCCTATGCGGAAATGTTTTTACCGAGCCGTTGCCTACAAACGTGTTGCATAACCCCACTGTTCTATTGTCGCGAGCTTGTATTACTTAGCAAAGGCAGTTTCTGTGGCTCAACAGTTCTTGCATGGGCAAATACGCCACAATATATTGTTTCAAAGCTAATCGTACCACAGACATGTCACCCCTAATAATAACAGTAAATATGTGCAAGCATGTTGCAATCTTAAGAACGAAAGGGCTCAGTACTGGAGATTGCTTTAATTAAACTTAATTTAATTAGAAATTGGAAAATGATATCTTCAGAGAAAAACCAATGACAACACTTGAGCTTTAAATATGCCGCAAATTGAATCTCCAAATTTTAACTTACGGTTCATTGCAGCAGCTATGCTCGTATTTTCAGTGCCGTACACAGTAAGGGCACTGGCGTACCTCACCTGAAACAAGAGTAAGAAATCATTGGCATGTATGTTCCTTTACATCAGAAAGAGACGTACGTGGTGTTATTTCAAACCAAAAGGAAACTGTACGGTCAGACTACAGCCAGAAAATACTCTCCCTAGTGCTCCGTTGAATAGCGGGAGATCGAAGAATGAACACAAGATTCGTGCGTAGCTAAATAAAATCTATATTCTGTGTTATACACCAGCTTTTTGTATGATCTGAAACGTTTTTAGTGACAGCGTCATATAAAGCAGAGATTATATCCGGCTGATGAAAATCAGAATTACGTTGTTTCGCTAAACTTTAGTACAGATCTCTAACACCAAAGTTCATCGAATCCCTTTGAAATATACAGACACGTGGACTGACAGACACGATCTCTCCTACAGTCCTCTACTTTGTGCAAAAAACGCATAAAACCTGTAGAAATAAAGATCCCTTTTCTTCAAAACGAAATCGACTGAAATTCATCAAAGGGCAATTCACTTTTTATAGAGAGAAACATTGTAACAGTTTCCCTTGACAGGTTGTGATCCTGAAACTGCGACATAAATCTGTAGGTAAACAGAACAGGAGTCAATGCTCCGACTGAAACAAGTTTGTTGTTGCGAATTTGTTCGCTTCGTGTCAATAAAAGGCGTACATCCCCTAATTTCGTGCTCCTAATGGCGCTTCATCTACAGAACACTATATTGATTTTGTATTATATTCACCTACTTCTTAAAATCCTTTCCTTATTTATTCTCGTCATTTTATATTTTCTTTGTGACCTTATTTTCTTATTTTCTCTGCGTTATCTTTCTTCCTTGTATTCTTTTCTAAGCATAAAGGTAGTCTTTATATCGGTCCTATTTTGGGGTGCTGGCATCATATAATTTCCCAGTACTGCAAGTAGTCTTATCAGATCACCATAATGTATCCCTCCTTTTATCATCTTTTGAAGCAACTCAGCAATTTTAACAAAATGTGATACAGATATTGTCATTTAGATCATTCCAACCCTTGCTTTTTAATTTAAATTAATTCACCAATATCTACCACGAACTTGTGAGGCGCGAGCAACACCAGCGCCACTTTATGTATTGTGATGTATCGACCCACTGCTAGGCATCGCCCGCAACACACGAGCGGACAACAATACAGGAGCAGTGTTTTCTGTGGTCCGCGAACGGACCGTCGTTATGCAGCGCGCGCTACGCACGTTCACGTGAGTGCAGTGACGTCAAACAATAGGAGAAGTAATGTAGGCAGGTGTTCTCTATAGGTCCGAGCCGAGGTATGTGTTTTTTGTGATGCGTGGTCTGTGCCGAGTCTATAGAAGTGAGCCGAATTCCGAGGCTAGGAGCTGTACGAGTACAGAAGAGTACAAGGGGCTGTGAGATTCAAGAGAATCTGAATATAACGACGTACAGCGGAGCGCAACAGAGCGTACGAGAGCTAGAGCTGAGTCAGCTGTCGTAGATTAGAATCCAGGGAGTCGGCAATCTAAGGAATTAGACTGCCAAGAAGACTTAGTGTGTGAATTTACATGTCTGCAGTACAGTGATATTGGGAGTGTGTAATTTAGTCAGACTTGTATCGTTCCTGCGTTATAAATCCGTTGCCAGCATACGGATAGTGAAGACTAGTGGAAATAGACTGAGAAGATTAATGTCGAATGATTTGCAAAGTGGAAATCAGCGATAGTGTTATATAATTTGTAGTTACGTCCTGTAAGTGGTCAATAAGTCAAATTACCAATTCGAACCCCGTTTATAGTCACTAATACGCGTGACAGCATGGTTCTGAAATTACGTTTAGTAATACAGCCTGTATCTTCAAAAAATTAACACAGTATAATGGTGTGCCTTCTTTTTTCTTCTTCTTCTTTACAGAACAAAAATAGTTTGGCGGTCGTGCGAAAATTTGCATGTAGTTTTCAGTTTTGACACCGATAATTAATGAACCCCTGGGCTTATGCACATAAGCAACTAAAACGAAGGCAGATAATAAACATAGCTACAAACTCTAAGTTAATATTGCTTATACAAACGTGGTCATGGGTGGGAAACTTTGACGTTATACCTCACAATTTGATCGCACTCATATCCCATAAAGCTAAATATAATAATAATAATAATAATAATAATAATAATAATAATAATAATACAACTTAACAAACTTTAATGTTATATGTTA